CTTGAAAATGTTAACTGGTCACTGAGACTGAGACACAGAAAGCTATTATTCTTACCAGTTTTCAATAGTGAGTAGATTCTGTAGGGGTGGAATTTTAAGATGTAAGTATACTGTTTTTCTACACTCAAATTCCGTTCCCCTTATCATAGAAATTGACCAGTGAAGTGTGCTGCTGACTTTTCAGAATCCATGTACATATAATCCATTAGGGTATTAGATATAACATTGGTCAGAAAAGCATACTGTGAAATGTTGCTTTTATTTAAACTCCCACTATTTTCACTACATGGTTTCAAGATTTTACTTCATTATTGTCCTCTGGTGGTGGGCTCTGTGAACTGCATATTTATGGGTCTGGAGCACATATCTTCAGGGAGGTATACAACTCCTCAGGTACCAGCTAAAGAGTAGATGATAAGAAGCATTCAGATTTATTAAAACTCATTAAGAATATCAGTAGCCTGACTGTTGTTTCTAAAAATATAAAATATTTATCCTTCTGTTGTCAAACAACCATATTTCATGAAAAGAAGTATAAATCCTTTTTTGCTTGCAATAGAAGAACAATAATCGAAGATATTCTTCATTTGGACCAAATACCTTCTCTGAAAATATAAGTTAAAACAGGAGTTGAAATTTCCAAAATATTCTTTAGGAAATAAAACTCCACATATAATTTCAAATTATAATTTAATCTTACCTTAAATTTAAATATCTATATTGAATTTAATTTAAGGAAGGAAGGAAGGAAGGAAGAAAGAAAGAAGAAAAGAAGGAAAGAAGGAAAGGAAGAAAGAAAGAAAGGAGGGAGGGAGGGAGGGAGGGACGGGAGGGATGGTGGGAGGAAGGAAGGAAGGAGGGAAGGAAGGAAAAAAGAAATAAAGAAAGAAGATAAAGTAAAATAAATATAATAAAGTTATTAAATTAAAAAATAATTATTAAGAAAAAAATTAAGAAAAAAACGGACAGATAGAACGTTAGGACAAATGGTGGAAGCAAAGCTATGCAGACAAAATCTCATACAGAAGCATACACATACACACTCACAAAAAGAGGAAAAGGGGAAAAAATCATAAATCTTGCTCTCAAAGTCCACCTCCTCAATTTGGGATGATTCTTTGTCTAAATGAGGGAAGGCAGGGAGGGAGGGAGGAAGGAAGGAAGGAAGGAAGGAAAGAAAGAAAGAAAGAAGATAAGGTAAAATAAAATAAAGTTATTAAAATAAAAAATAATTATTAAGAAAAAAAAAAACGGACAGATAGAACGCTAGGACAAATGGTGGAAGCAAAGCTATATAGGCAAAATCTCACACAGAATCGTACACATACACACTCACAAAAAGAGGTAAAGGGGAAAAAAATCATAAATCTTGCTCTCAAAGTCCACCTCCTCAATTTGGGATGATTCGCTGTCTATTCATGTATTCCACAGATGCAGGGTACATCAAGTTGATTGTGGAGCTTTAATCCGCTGCTTCCGAGGCTGCTGGGAGAGATTTCCCTTTTTCTTCTTTGTTCTCACAGCTCCCAGGGGCTCAGCTTTGGATTTGGCCCCGCCTCTGCGTGTAGGTCGCTGGAGGGCGTCTGTTTTTCACTCAAACGAGATGGGGTTAAAGGAGCCGCTGATTCGGGGGCTCTGGCTCACTCAGGCCGCGGCGGGGGAGGGGCACGGAGTGCGGGTCAAGCCTGCGGCGGCAAAGGCCGGCGTGACTTTGCACCAGCCTGAGGCTCACCGTGCGTTCTCCCGGGGAAGTTGTCCCTGGATCCCGGGAACCTGGCAGTGGTGGGCTGCACAGGCTCCCCGGAAGTGGGGTGTGGATAGTGACCTGTGCTCGCACACAGGCTTCTTGGTTGAGGCAGCAGCAGCCTTAGCGTCTCATGCCTGTCTCTGGGGTCCGCGCTTTCAGCCGCGCCTCGCGCCCGTCTCTGGAGCTCCTTTAAGCAGCGCTCTAATTCCCTCTCCTCGCGCAGCAGGAAACAAAGAGGGAAGAAAAAGTCTCTAGCCTCTTCGGCAGCTCCAGACCTTTTCCCGGTCTCCCTCCCGGCTAGCCGTGGTGCACTAACCCCTTCAGGAGGTGTTCACGCCGCCAGCCCCAGTCCTTTCCCTGTGCTCTGACCGAACCCCGAGCCTCAGCTCGCAGCCCCGCCTGCCCCGGCGGGTGAGCAGACAAGCCTCTCGTGTTGGTGAGTTCCGGTCGGCACCGATCCTCTTTGCGGGAATCTCCCCGCTTTGCCCTCCGCACCCCTGTGGCTCCGCTCTCCTCCGCGGCTTCGAAGCTTCCCCCTCCGCCACCCACAGTCTCCGCCCGCGAAGGGGCTTCCTAGTGTGGAAACCTTTCCTCCTTCACAGCTCCCTCCCACTGGTGCAGGTCCCCTCCCTATTCTTTTGTCTGTTTTTTCTTTTTTTCTTTTGCCCTACCCAGGTATGTGGGGAGTTTCTTGCCTTTTGGGAGGTCTGAGGTCTTCTGCCAGCGTTGAGTAGGTGTTCTGTAGGAGTTGTTCCACGTGTAGATGTATTTCTGGTGTATCTGTGGGGAGGAATGTGATCTCCGCGTGTTACCCTTCCGCCATCTTCCCCTCCCAGGTATCCGTTTTTTCTAGACTTTTCTTTCTTCAGCTCACAAAGGGGCCCTTGAGGATTAAGCAGAGGAACGTCAGGGTTTCTTCCAGGCCAGCTTCAGCCCTGGGATGTTCAGGGCAGACTCTCATTACAAACCTCAGTTTCTGAGGCTCCTGGCTTATGGCCATTTAGTATAGAAGGAGGCTCCTGGCTGGGGAAGGCTCAGACAAAAAGATGCAGGTTCTAATCTGTGGCAGTGGGCAGTGGTGGTGGGGAGTGGCGGTCAGTGCAGGAAGAGGCATTCGCTGCCTTAGGCATTTAAACCATTGCCTTCTCTTCAGGATGGATCACCTGCAAGATTCTGTGGGGTCCGCCTCCTGGCACCATGCTACAATCGCCGGATTTTGGGTCCGCAGCAACCCAGGTCTTCGTCCGACATTTCCGGACAGTGCTTTCTCTTCGGAGCACGTCTGGGGACTGGCTTCTCTGCTTCCACCTTAGCTGGCGTGGCCAAAGGAACATCCCCGTAGGCCCGGAAGCCACCAACCAGGCAGTATGTCTCCCCATGCCGGCCCAACTGCGTTTCTCCACACCCGCGGTAGACGACATGGTAGTGACCAGGTGTAGGACGAGAAACGGGAGCCACTGCTGCTGCTAAGAAAATCAGAACTGATCAGTCACTTCTGCTGTGCACAGTCTCCTGCCAGAATTTCCCTCTCTCAGGTCTCTCCCAGTTTCTGGCTGAAGACCTTTAATCTACTTGACGTCCAAAACACAGCCTTGGCCCATCACCTCTATGAGTCCCTAGAGAAGGGACACTGGCTGCAAAAGCAATCCCTAGAGCCTAGGGCTGCAGCACATGAGGAAGTCTCTTCACCGTTTCCAGGGAAAACAGTAGAAACCGAAAGTAATTGCAATCATGATCCACTCCATCTCTCCCTTCCACAACAGAGAAAACATTTCTTGCAGTCTGTCACTTCTGAGGCTTTCATGGAAATGTCTTTCAAGTTTTGGAAAAATATAATCTAATAAAATTGGTTAAGAACACCGCCCACCTTGGCAACTCCTCTTGGGCCCAATTTATACTGCCTGTTTCAAACACACTGAACTCTAGCCTTCTGATGCTTTTTTTTTGTGTGTGTGGTACGCGGGCCTCTCACTGTTTTGGCTTCTCCCGTTGCGGAGCACAGGCTCCGGACGCACAGGCTTAGCGGCCATGTCTCACGGGCCTAGCCGCTCCACGGCATGTGGGATCTTCCCCGACCAGGGCACGAACCTGTGTCCCCTGCATCGGCAGGCGGACTCTCAACCACTGCGCCACCAGGGAGGCCCCGTCTGATACTTTTATGTTGATTAGAACAAGGCCAAATACTGAGGCAGACTGATCAGGAGACTCAGAACCAGGTTCTGGGTACCAAGTCTAGGCTCACATCAACACAGGCTCCTGGGACACCATCTTCTCAGCCCTCTAGTCTCATTAGCACTTCATCACCCCCGCTTTATTCTTCCGGTCTTCCCATCAATACGGCACCACCCTCTCCCCTAGTACTCAGCAAGTCAGTAAGGGATGTGTCTGAGGGGACCGATAGAGACGCCTACATGATAGCACAGTGGTGCCTGGGTTTGAAGGTGTGGTTCAACAGTGGCCCTCTTCCTCAAACTGCTCCATTTACCATTTGCCAACAAAAATGCACTTGTCATTTGCTAAGAGGCCAATCAGGAAAGGGTCTGAATGGAATCATCCTGTATCCCAAAGGGGAAGGCTACATTTATAAAGCTCATAACCGTCCTGCACACTAATCCAGGAATGACCTTTCACTTGTCTTCAGCAGTGAGCACTGTGAGTCACTGAAGGTGTCCCAGGTCAATGGTATTACTTAGAGCTGGGAAAGTGCTCAGGTGTGTGTGGTGGGCAAGCCCCACAGGAACATGTGGCAGCCAGGGGAGGTTGTGTGTACACCATGCCTCTTGTACAGATGCCCGGTCTCGGTGTACCTGCTGCACTGCCCTCCCAGGGAACAGAGGACAGGTTAGAGTAAATAGAGAAGATCTGGTCAAACATTTTCTCTCAAACAACCAAGGAGATTGGTATCTCGTGAAGAACTTTCTCCAGGGAAAGAAGTTTCCTCCAGGGTAGGGAAGTTTCTCTGAGGGTAGCACATTTGCATAGTTACCCTGCTATGGAAACTCTGAGAAGACCTGTGAGGTCATCACTACCCAGTGAGGTCATATAAGGAACCTGTGATTTGCGGGGCAGTCTTCAGGAGGAGGGGCAGTTTTGTGGAGGAGAGCAGGGTGGAGGAGGAGGTACTCTGCCTGGCCCCTCACACATGGGCTTTCCCACACATGCCCTAGTCTAGTAGATACTCCACGTGGGGCGTGCCGGTGGGCTGGCACAGCCCCAGGGGCCCCAGGAGGGAAAGAGAGACAAACATTCTGAGATTGGCTTGAGAGGCAAGATTAACGTAAAAGACAGCTAGGTTGTATAGCACTGACCGTAAGAGGCAGAGATTTGTGTGGACTGGGGAATCAGGGAAGGCTCCTTGGCAGTGGGCCTGAAGTACAAGTGAGATTTGGACCCATGGGGAAGAGAGGGAAGACATTCTGGTTTGGAAGAATAAAAGCAAAGACACACTCTCCTCAAACCTGTCCTGCCCCAAATATAAATTCATAGCACCTTCATATTTTTACAGCTGAGAACTTAAAAAACCAAGAGGTTAAGGGGCCTACCCAGTGTTACACAGGTAGTGGAGAGGTGTTCTGCTCAATGGTTAGGTTCATGTTTGGGCTCCAGATTTATAGCTGATAGGGATGTGAGGACAAGCTCATGCCATTTCAAACATTTCCAAGTGATACTAAGAGAGATGTTAAAGGTGCAAAATGAGGGTGCTGAATGACTTCACAAAGTGGGAATGGTGGGCCCATTTTAACATGAAATTGAAAACAAATTCATGACAAAAGGACATAATACAAAATGACAACATAATTATTACACTCCCCTCTCCCCTGGAAGTAAAATTCATTAGAATCCGCTCTCTCTCTGCCATGAAAGGATGAGATAAAGGCTCAGCAGCAGCCCCAGTGAAAAACATGGTCAACAGGGTGAAGAGGTGTTACTAAGACGATTTGGTGCTACTCAGGGGAGCAAAGAGAGAACTCTGCCCTTAGCCTGATCAGGCTACGGGAAGGAACCACATGTGGGGCAGCCTTGGATAGTGTGGCAATGTGAGAGAAACTTCTTTAGGAGGGGACTCCCTGCTGCCGACCTTGAGAAAGAAAATATGGGACATTCGTTTACTGTGGCTCTTGCAGAGGCGATGTGCCCAGAGGTTGGGCCACACTGCTTGAGAATCAAAGCACCTTGTATTCCTGTGCTGCTTGAAAGCTCCAATCGCCGGATTTTGGGTCTGGGGCAACACAGGTCTTCGTCCGACCATTCCGGTGAGTGCTTTCTCTTCAGAGCACGTCTGGGCACTGGCTTCTCTGCTTCCACCTTAGCTGGCGTGGCCAAAGGAACATCCCCGTAGAGCCGGTAGCCACCAACCAGGCAGTATGTCTCCCCATGCCAGCCCAACTGCGATTCTCCACACCCACGGTACAGGACATGGTAGTGACCAGGTGTAGGACGAGAAACGGGAGCCACTGCTGCTGCAAAGAAAATCAGAACTGATCAGTCACTTCTGCTGTGCACAGTCTCCTGCCAGAATTTCCCTCTCTCAGGTCTCTCCCAGTTTCTGGCTGAAGACCTTTAATCTACTTGACGTCCAAAACACAGCCTTGGCCCATCATCTCTATGATTCCCTAGAGAAGGGACACTGGGTGAGAAAGCAATCCCGAGAGCCTAGGGCTGCAGCACATGAGGAAGTCTCTTCACCGTTTCCAGGGAAAACAGTAGAACCCGAAAGTAACTGCAATCATGATCCTCTCCATCTCTCCCTTCCACAACAGAGAAAACATTTCTTGCAGTCTGTCACTTCTGAGGCTTTCATGGAAATGTCTTTCAAGATTTGGAAAAAAATAATCTAATATAAATTGGTTAAGAACCCCGCCCACCTTGGCAACCCTTTTTGGGCCCCATTTATACTGCCTGTTTCAACCACACTGAACTCTAGCTGTCTAATTCTTTTATGTAGATTAGAACAAGGCCAAATACTGAGGCAGAGTGATCAGGAGACTCAGAACCGGGTTCTGGGTCCCAAGTCTAGGCTCGTATCAACCCAGCCTCCAATGACACCATCTCCTCAGCCCTCCAGGCTCATTAGCACTTCATCACCCCCTCTTCGTTCTTCCGGTCTTCCCATCAATATGGCAACACCCTCTCCCTTAGTACTCAGCAACTCTGTAAGGGATGTGTCTGAGGGGACCGATATAGACGTCTACATGACAGCACAGTGGTGCCTGGGTTTGAAGGTGTGTTTCAAGAGTGACCTTTCACTTGTTCTCAGCAGTGAGAACTGTGCGTCCCTGAAGGCGTCGCAGGTCACTGGTATTACTTACATCTGGGAAAGTGCTCAGCTGTTCGTAGTTGGCAACCCCCACAGGAACATGTGCCAGCCAGGTGAGGTTGTGTGTATATCATACCTCCTGTAGAGTTGCCCGGTCTGGGTGTACCTGCTGCACTGCCCACCCAGGAAACAGAGCACAGGTTAGAGTACATATACAGTATCCGGTCACACATTGTCACACAGACATCCAAAGAGATTGGTATCTGGTGGAGAACTGGTAGGGAAGTTTCTCTGAGTGCAGCCCGTTTCTACAGTTATGCTACCATGGAAACGCTGAGAACTCCTGTGAGGGCATCACTACCCAGTGAGGTCATATATGGAATCTTTGACTTGAGGGGCAGGCTTGAGGAGGAGGGGCAGTTTTGTGGAGGAGAACAGGGTAGAGGCAGAGGTACTCTGCCTCGCCCCTCACCCCTGGGCCTCCTCACCCATGCCCTAGTGTAGTAGACACCCCAGATGGGGCATGCCGGTGGGCTGGCACAGCACCAGGGGCCACAGGAGGGCAAGAGAGACCCATATTCTGAGTTTGGCTTGAGAGGCAAGATTAACGTAAGAGACAGCTAGGTTGTATGCCACTGACCCTAAGAGGCAGAAATTTGTGTGGACTGGGGAGTCAGGGAAGGCTCCTTGGCAGTGGGCCTGAAGGACAAGTGAGATTTGGACCCATGGGGAAGAGAGGGAAGAGATTCCAGTTTAAAAGAATAAAAGAAAAGACACATTCTTCTCGACCTTATCCTGCCCCAAATATAAATTCATAGCACCCTAACATTTTTACAACTGTGGACTTACAAAATCCAAGAAGTTAAGGGGCCTACCCAGTGTTACACAGGTAGTGGAGAGGTGTTCTGCTCAATGGTTAGGTTCATGTCGGGGCTCCGGATTTACAGCTGATAGGAATGTGAGAACAACCTCATGCCATTTCAAACATTTCCAAGTGATACTGAGAGAGATGTTAAAGGTGCAGAATGAGGGTGCTGAATGACCTCACAATGTGGGAATGGTGGGCTCATTTTAACACGAAATTGAAAAATTCATGACAAAAGGACATAATACAAAATGACAACATAATCATTACACTCCCCTCACCCCTAGAAGTAAAAATCATTAGAATCCTCTCTCTCTCCATAATGAAAGGACGAGATGAAGGCTCAGCAGCAGCCCCCGTGAACAACATGGTCAATAGTGTGAAGATGTGTTACTAAGACGATTTGGTACGACTCAGAGAAGGAAAGAGACAACTCTGCCCTTAGCCTGATGAGGCCAACAGGAAGGAACCACATTTGGGGCAGCCTTTGATAATGTGGCAATGAGAGAGAACCTTCTTTAAGAGGGGACTCCCTGTTGCCAACCTTGAAAACATAAAGATGGGACATTCGTTTACTGGGGCTGTTGCAGAGGGGATGTGCCCAGAGGTTGGGCCACCCTGCTTGAGAATTAAAGCACCTTGTTCTCCTGAGCTGTTTGAATGCTCCAATCACCGGATTTGGGCTCTGGGGCAACGCAGGTCTCTGTCCGACCTTTCCGGAGAGCGCTTTCTTTTGGGGACACGTCTGGGGACTGGCTTCTCTGCTTCCACTACTGGCATGACCAAAGGAACATACCCATAGGCCCGGAAGCCACCAACCAGGTAGTATGTCTCTCCATGCCAGCCCAACTGCGTTTCTCCACGCCATCGGTAGAGGACATGGTAGTGACCAGGTGTAGGACGAGAAACGGGAGCCACTGCTGCTGCAAAGAAAATCAGAACTGATCAGTCACTTCTGCTGTGCACAGTCTCCTGCCAGTATTTCCCTCTCTAATGCCTCTCCCAGTTTCTGGCTGAAGACCTTTAGTCTACTTGACATCCAAAACACAGCCTTGGCCCATCACCTCTATGAGTCCCTAGAAGAGGGACACTGGCTGCAAAAGCAATTCCTAGAGCCTAGGGCTGCAGCAGATGAGGAAGTCTCTTCACCGTTTCCAGGGAAAACAGTAGAACCCGAAAGTAATTTCAATCATGATCTTCTCCATCTCTCCCTTCCACAACAGAGAAGACATTTCTTGCAGCCTGTCACTTCTGAGGCTTTCATGGAAATGTCTTTCAAGATTTGGAAAAAAATAATCTAATATAAATTGGTTAAGAACCCCGCCCACCTTGGAAACCCCTCTTGGGCTCAATTTATACTGCCTGTTTCAACCACACTGAACTCTAGCCCTCTGATACTTTTATGTCGATTAGAACAAGGCCAAATCCTGAGGCAGAGTGATCAGGAGACTTAGAACCGGGTTCTGGGTCCCAAGTCTAGGCTCACATCAACCCAGCCTCCTGGGACACCATCTCCTCAGCCCTCCAGTCTCATTAGTACTGCATCAACCCCCCTTCGTTCTTTTGGTCTTCCCATCAATATGGCAACACCCTCTCCCCTAGTACTCAGCAACTCAGGATGGGATGTGTCTGAGGGGACCGATAGAGACGCCTACATGACAGCACAGATGTGCCTGCATTGGCAGGTGCGGTTCAAGGTGGCCCTCTTCCTCAAACTGCTCCTTTTACCATTTGCCAACAAAAATGCACTTGTCTTTTGCTAAGAGGCCAATCAGGAAAGGGTCTGAATGGAAGCATCTTTTAGCCCAAAGGAGAAGGCTACATTTATAAAACTCAGAACCGTCCTGCACACTTGTCCAGGGATAACATTTCACTTCTCCTCAGCAGTGAACACTGTGGGTCAGTGAAGGTGTCCCAGGTCACTGGTATTACTTAGTGCTGGGAAAATGCTCAGGGGTACGTAGTTGGCTAGCACCACAGGAATATGTGCCAGCCAGGTGAGGTTGTGTGTACACCTTACCTCCTGTAGAGATGCCCGGTCTGAGTGTACCTGCTGCACTGTCTACCCAGGGAACAGAGCAGAGGTTAGAGTACATAACGACTATCCATTCAGACATTCTCTCTCACACAACCAAAGAGATTGGTATCTGGTGGAGAACTGGTAGGGAAGATTCTCTGAGGGCACCCCTTTCCACAGTTACCCTGCCATGGAAACTGTGAGAAGGCTTGTGAGGGCATCACTACCCAGTGAGGTCTTAGAACGAACCTGTGACTTGCAGGGCAGGCTTCAGGAGGAGGGGCAATTTTGTGGAGGAGAGCAGGGTGGAGGCAGAGGTACTCTGCCTCGTCCCTCACACCTGGGCATTCTCCCCCATGCCCTAGTCTAGTAGACACCCCAGATGCGGGGTGCCGGTGGTCTGGCACAGCCACTGGGGCCCCAGGGTGGGCAAGAGAGACCCACATTCTGAAATTGGCTTCAGAGGCAAGATTAATATAAGAGACAGCTAGGTTGTATGGCACTGACGCTAAGAGGCAGAGATCTGTGTGGACTGGGGAATCGGGGAAAGCTCCTTGCCAGTGGGCCTGAAGGACAAGTAAGATTTTGACCCATGGGGAAGAGAGGAAAGACATTCCAGTTTAGAAGAATAAAAGCAAAAACACACTCTTCTCGACCTTGTCCTGCCCCAAATATAAATTCATAGCACCCTCACATTTTTACAATTGAGGACTGAAAAAAAAACAGGAGGTTAAGTGGCCTACCCAGTGTTACACAGGAAGTGCAGAGGTGTTCTGCTCAATGGTTAGGTTCATGTTGGGGCTCCGAATTTACAGCTGACAGGAATGTGAGAACAACCTCATGCCATTTCAAACATTTCCACGTGATACTGAGAGAGATGTCTAAGGTGCAAAATGAGGGTGCTGAATGGTCTCACAAAGTGGGAATTGTGGGACCATTTTAACATGAAATCAAAAATAAATTCATGACTAAAGGACATAATACAAAACGACAACATCATCATTACACTCCCCTCTCCCCTAGAAGTAAAAATCATTAGAATCCTCTATCTCTCCACCATGAAAGGATGAGATAAAGGCTCAGCAGCAGCCCCCGTGAAAAACATGGTCAACAGGGTGAAGAGGTGTTACTAAGACGACTTGGTGCGACTCAGACAAGGTAAGAGACAACTCTGCCGTTAGCCTGATCAGACCCACAGGAAGGAACTACATTTGGGGCAGCCTTTGATAATGTGGCAATGAGAGAGAACTTACTTTAGGAGGGGACTCCCTGTTGCCGACCTTGAAAAAGTAGAGATGGGACATTTGTTTACTGGGGCTGTTGCAGAGGGCATGTGCCCAGAGGTTGGGCCACCCTGCTTGACAATCAAAGCACCTTGTATTTCTGAGCTGCTTGAATGCTGCAATCGCTGGATTTTGGGTCTGGGGCAACACAGGTCTTTGTCCGACCTTTCTGGACAGCGCTTTCTCTTGGGAGCACGTCTGGGGACTGGCTTCTCTGTTTCCACCTTTGCTGGCGTGGCCAAAGGAACATCTCCGTAGGCCCGGTAGCCATCAACCAAGCAGTATGTCTACCCATGCCGGCCCAAGAGTGTTTATGCACACCCTCGGTAGACGACATGGTAGTGACCAGGTGTAGGACGAGAAACGGGAGCCACTGCTGCTGCAAAGAAAATCAGAACTGATCAGTCACTTCTGCTGTGCACAGTCTCCTGCCAGAATTTCCCCCTCTCATGTCTCTCCCAGTTTCTGGCTGAAAACATTTAAGCTACTTGACATCCAAAACACAGCCTTGGCCCATCACCTCTATGATTCCCTAGAGAAGGGACACTGGGAGAGAAAGCAATCCCGAGAGCCTAGGGCTGCAGCACATGAGGAAGTCTCTTCACCGTTTCCAGGGAAAACAGTAGAACCCAAAAGTAATTGCAGTCATGATCCTCTCCATCTCTCCCTTCCACCACAGAGAAAACATTTCTTGCAGCCTGTCACTTCTGAGGCTTTAATGGAAATGTCTTTCAAGTTTTGGAAAAGAATAATCAAATATAAATTGCTTAAGAACCCCGGCCACCTTGGCAACCCTTTTTGGGCCCCATTTATACTGCCTGTTTCAAACACACTGAACTCTAGGCCTCTCATACTTTTACGTCGATTAGAACAAGGCAAAATCCTGAGGCAGAGTGATCAGGAGACTCAGAACCGGGTTCTGGGTACCAAGTCTCGGCTCACATCAACCCAGCCTCCTGGGACACAATCTCTTCAGCCCTCCAATCTCATTAGCACTTCATCAACCCCCCTTCGTTCTTTTGGTCTTCCCATCAATATGGCATCACCCTCTCCCCTAGTACTCTGCATCTCTTTATGGGATGTTTCTGAGGGGACCGATATAGACATCTACATGACAGCACAGAGGTGCCTGCGTTTGAAGGTGAGGTTCAAGAGTGGCCCCCTTCCTCAAACTGCTCCATTTACCATTTGCCAACAAAAATGCACTTGTCTTTTTCTAAGAGGCCAATCAGGAAAGGGTCTGAATGGAAGCATCCTGTATCCCAAAGGGGAAGGCTACATTTATAAAGCTCAGAACCGTCCTGCACACTTGTCCAGGGATGACCTTTCACTTCTCCTCAACAGTGAGCACTGTGGGTCACTGAAAGTGTCCCAGGTCACTGGTATTACTTAGAGCTGGGAAAGTGTTCAGGTGTATGTGCCACAGGAACATGTGGCAGCCAAGGGAGTTTGTGTGTATACCATGCCTCTTGTACACATGCCCGGTCTCAGTGTACCTGCTTCCCTGCCCTCCCAGGGAATAGAGGACAGGTTAGAGTAAATATAGAAGATGTGGTCAGATATTCTCTCTCAGACAAAAAAAGAGATTGGTATCTGGTGGAGAACTTTCTCCAAGGAAAGAAGTACCCACCAAGGTAGGGAAGTTTCTCTGAGGGAAGCACGTTTGCATAGTTACCTTGCCATGGAAACCGTAAAAAGGCCTATGACGGCATCACTACCCAGTGAGTTCATATGAGGAAACTGTGACTTGAGGGGCAGGCTTCAGGAGGAGGTGCACTTTTGTGGAGGAGAGCAGGGTGGAGGGAGATGTACTCTAACTGGCCCCTCACATCTGGGCCTACCCACCCATGCTCTCGTCTAGTAGACACACTAGGTGTCGTGCGGCAGTGGGGCTGGCACAACCCCAGGGGTGCCAGGAGGGTAAGAGAGTCCCACATTCTGAGTTTGGCTTGAGAGGCAAGATTAACGTAAGAGATAGCTAGGTTGTATGCCACTGACCCTAAGAGGCAGAGATTTGTGTGGCCTGGGGAATCAGGGAAGGCTCCTTGGCAGTGGGCCTGAAGGACAAGTGAGATTTGGACCCATGGGGAAGAGAGGGAAGAGATTCCAGTTTAAAAGAATAAAAGAAAAGACACACTCTTCTCGACCATGTCCTTTCCCAAATATAAATTCATAGCACCCTCACATTTTTACAACTGAGGACTTAAAAATACCAAGAGGTTAAAGGGCCTACCCAGTGTTACACAGGTAGTGGAGAGGTGTTCTGTTCAATGGTTAGGTTCATGTCGGGGCTCCAGATTTACAGCTGATAGGAATGTGAGGACAAGCTCATGCCATTTCAAATATTTCCAAGTGATACTAAGAGAGATGTTAAAGGTGCAAAATGAGGGTGCTGAATGACCTCACAAAGTGGAAATGGTGGGCCCATTTTAACATGAAATTGAAAACAAATTCATGACAAAAGGACATAATACAAAATGACAACATAATCATTACAGTCCCCTCACCCCTAGAAGTAAAAATCATTAGATTTCTCTCTCTCTCCACCATGAAAGGATGAGATAAAGGCTCAGCAGCAGCCCCTGTGAAAAACATGGTCAACACTGTGAAGAGGTGTTACTAAGATGATTTGGTCCAACTCAGAGAAGGAAAGAGACAACTCTGCCCTTAGCCTGATCAGGCCCACAGGAAGGAACATTTGGGGCAGCCTTTGATAGTGTGGCAATGAGAGACAACCTTCTTTAGGAGGGGACTCCTTGTTGCTGACCTTGAAAAAGCAAAGATGGGACATTCGTTTAATGGCAGTGTTGCAAAGGCGATGTGCCCAGGAGGTAGAGACTGCTTCAACTACCATTTTAGAGGTTGGACCACCCTGGTTGAAAACCACAGCACCTTCTATTCCTAAACTGCTTGAATCAGCGGGTGCACGTTAGGACACGCGAAGTCAGGCCCCATTGGAGCAGACTGCCTTTGGGAGTGGTAGAATGTAAACTGTGAAGGGGAATGCTCTGGAGGAGCTTTGTCATGGCAGGTGGGCCAGCATGAGACCATTCAGATGCTCCAAGGCTCCAGAGATTACTTGGCTGGGAGCATCCCTCTGATGTGGTGGGGGGACTTCTACCTTAATAGGACCTGGCTGGGCATCTGGCGGAGGCAGAATAAATGGTTTATTAACTTACAAGAGTGAGAGACTCACCTGTGGGGTTCCACAAAAGCACTTAAAAAGACTTGTACCTGGATTCTTGGGCCAACCCTAAGAAAACTTATCTAGATGTGGAGTAGGGCTCAGGAAGCTGCACTTTTAATAAGCTTCCTGGGCAGTCCCACCATAGTGGTCCATGGATAGAGTGACCAAATTATTGTGTATTCTCAGTTGCTTTTGGGAATCAAAGTGGGCGATATGAGAAACTGCAGCAGCCCTATGTATAAACAGGGAACATTCAAGGCAAACAGAGGTGTTTAGTTATTCTATGCATGAATCAGATTTCAGAAAAGCTAGCCTGGGTGTTAAAGAGCACAACCCTTATGACAGTCAGACCAGATTCTGTCCTACTTACGTGTGTGATTTTGACCAAGTTCTTTTATCCTTCTGACTGTTTCTTCATATGGAAAAGAGCTATGGCTGTACATTTAGCACAATATTCTCTTTTGGCAAAAGTTGCTCTGGGTCCATTTGTGTTCTCTGCAACTTAATCCTTTCCAGTGTGCAAGTATTTTTAAGTTGTTTGGTGAAGTATTACATTTGACTTTCAACTGTTCATTACTTTGGGCAAAGCTTATGTAGTGCTGCAGAGACTAGAACCTATGCAGAGATAGTGAGAGGATATTATAAGCTTATTCTGCCAGTTTATAAGAAAAGTTTAACTTTTTCTCCTCTTCCTCCACCTGCCACCAAGAGATGAGAAAGCAGGCAGAGCCTGGAAATGCACACCAAGCAATACTTCTGGGGAGCTAGTTGGAGCGCGAGGGCTGCCGCCTGAGCGCAGCTCCGCTGAGCGGGGCGGGTCGGCGGCATGTCCAGCAGCTACTGGCGGAGCCCGAGGGTGTGGGGCGCGGCCCCGGGTGGCGGCTGCACCGGAGCGGCGAGTGAGGGCCAGGGGCCGTTCTGGCGCGGCCGCCCCATTACCAGACTGGCCGAAAGCCCTCCTGGTTCTTTCGCCATTCCCCGCTGCCGGGAGCCGGGAGCAGCCCGGAACCGGGCACCTGCGGCCGCAGCCCGGAGATACACCAGAAATACATCTACACGTGGAACAACTCCTACAGAACACCTACTGAACGCTGGCAGAAGACCTCAGACCTTCCAAAAGACAAGAAAGTCCCCACGTACCTGGACGTGTGGATGAAAGGCTCTTGGTGCTGCAGCCAAGAGTCAGTTCTGTGCCTCTGAGGTGGGAGGGCCAACTTCAGGACACTGGTCCACAAGAGACCTCCCAGGTCCACATAATATCAAATGGAGAAAATCTCCCAGAGATCTCCATCTCAACACCAGTACCCAGTTTCACTCAACGACCAGCAAGCTAGAGTGCTGGACACGCTATGCCAGACAACAAGCAAGACAGAAACACAAACCCACTCATTTTAGGAGAGAGACTGCCCTAAAATCATAATAACTCCACAGACACCCCAAAACACACCACCAGACGTGGACCTGCCTACCAGAAAGACAAGATCCAGCCTCATCCACCAGAACACAGGCACTAGGCCCCTCCACCAGGAAGTCTACACAACCCTCTGAAACAACTTTAGCCACTGGGGACAGACACCAAAAACAACGGGAACTATGAACCGGCAGCCTGCAAAAAGGAGACCCCAAACACAGTAAGATAAGCAAAATGAGAAGACAGAAAAATACACATCAGATGAAGGAGCAAAATAAAAACACACCAGACCTAACAAATGAAGAGGAAATAGGCAGTGTTACTGAAAAAGAATTCAGAATAATGATAGTAAAGATGATCCAAAATCTTGTAAATAGAATAAACTAAATGCAAGAAACATTTAACAAGGACCTAGAAGAACTAAAGATGAAACAAACAATGATGAACAACACCACAAATGAAATGAAAAATACTCTAGATGGGATCAATAGCAGAATAACAGGCAGAAGAACGAATAAGTGACCTGGAAGATAAAATAGTGGAAATAACTACTGCAGAGAAGAATAAAGAAAAAAGAATGAAAAGAACTGAGGACACTCTCAGAGACCTCTGGGACAACATTAAACGCACCAACATTCGAATGATAGGGGTTCCAGAAGAAGAAGAGAAAAAGAAAGGGAAT